AGCAGAACTTAAAAAGGCTTAATCGATGATGCTGACGTAATCACCATCTCTACCCCCCACCCCCCCATGTCATCAAAAATAAGCAAAGCGAAGACCCCCCTGCCCCCCTATAGTGCTTACGTAATACTAGAACAGCCTCTAACGAACAACAGCTATTATTTTCAAAGGCAGTTCACTCAATTCCAAATCGCCGTTCGTTCATGAACGACACCAGAACCTGACGGTACACAATATATGGGAGACACCAATATGTTGAGATACGCAGCTTACTGTCATAATATAAGTTTCTACCAATACCGACGAGCGATTCGTGGAGTCCTGTTCAAATATAGACGTTGTCGTGTACAAAATAAAGTCCTTTATAGTGAGTGTATCGGGTTAAAGCGGAATATATGTCATACTGTGTTCGCACATTGGTTATTGGACTAAATTTATTTTTATGTAAAATTCACACGCGTTGCGCTTGTTTGCGAAGGTTGGGTGGGGGGTGATGGAAAAACGTACATTTAAATTGACAATGGAAAGGCAAAATCGCTTTTAAAGCCACTTTGGTCGAAAATGAGTTATATTTATATCATTTTAATCAGATTAATTTTTTGCAAAGATCTGTTTATATTTCGTAAAGATAAGAGGAGATTTGAAGAGGAGCTCGATGGCGCAAGTGGTTAGCGCATTCGGCTGCAATCGTTGTAGTTTAGCAACTTTCGCTGTGGTCGGTCATTGGATGGGTGACCAAAAATGTACTGTTTCGAGCCTTTCCGTGCTTTAGAAGGCACGTTAAGCCGTTGGTCCCGGCTGCATCTGCAGTCGTCAGCACCCACCAATCTGCACTGGGCCCGCGTGGTGGGTCATAGCACAATCTCCCTGTTCCATCCATAGGGAAGGCCTACGCCCCAGTACTGGGGACATTAATAGGCTGATGATGAAGATTTGAGTACTTTGTGGGCGTTTAAGCAACTAACTTTTTTGATTTTTTTTGTTCACAACGGTGAAGCGACATAAATTATGGTGTTTTTTGAACCAATGGCGTATTTAGCGTGAGATTCGATGTTTGGTCGACAAAAAATGTACGGCTAGCCGAGTGATTTTCGCTTAAGCGACATTTAATTCGTAAAGCATAGGGACTATTTTACTTTTTAATAGGATTATATTTAGAAAACATTATTTTATAAATACGTTTTTATTTGTATGGCGCCACTTCTCATGCACATGAGTTATGATTATTATTGTGAAAAAAAAACTTGGATCGTCGTTTCTGTAAAGTTACTAAAGTGTCGTATAAGCCATTTTGCTTTTTCCACTGTCGATATCATAAATGTACAGTTATTCTGCTTTAGTAAACTTCTTGTCTAGCGGTACTTGTTTTGTTCTGCTTTAATGTTTTTTGTAATGAGAGAGTGACAACGGGCCCTGTCATTGGCTGTTAATCCGTTTGTGATGAATAAATATTATAATTTATTCAAGTAGCTTGGACTCAATGGGTAAGTAACATTCTTTATTTAACCTATGTAACTAAGCCACAAAATCAAGTATTATAACAGAAAACAACTTAAAAGTTAACACTTCACGCCTCAACTGCTGAACCGATATTGATGAATTTCGGTGTGTAGATAAAAATGACCTTGAAAGAGCCTATACTAAAAAAAACTTTATTATTTGTCCTCAATCATTCTCCGCAGACAAAGACGGGTATCCGCAATCATGTAAACAAAAGGCAGTTCAAGTACGTTAATACACTTTAACTATTATAAACACAGCGCCATTTAATTTTAAAGCAGTCGCATTGTGTATGAATCTTGAAAACGCCATTTCGCGAAACTACACATACTCGTAGTATCCACTCGAGTTTGCACTTCGTATTCAGTGTGTAAATGTGAGAGGTGGGAGTTGGGAGGGGGGGGGGGGGGGGGGGGGGAGGTGACTTGCAGCTGATAACAGGGTGGAGCGCTTAAGCGCCACGGAATTATGGTGGGGTGAAACGGGGGATAGACTACACTGTGCACAGATGCGACACTCTGTTGACGTCAATCTGTTGACTGCCTATTGATTGATCGACAGTAACATTGAAAAGGAGCTCGATGGCGCAAGTGGTTAGCGCGTTCTGCTGCGATCGTTGAATTTAAACAACTTCGCAGTGGTCGGTCTTTGGATGGGTGACCAAAAATTTACTATCTCGAGCTCCTCCGTGCTTCGGAAGGCACGTTAAGCCGTTGGTCCCGGCTGCATCTGCAGCCGTTAGCACCCGCCAATCCGCACTGGGCCCGCGTGGTGGGTGGCCCAATCTCCCTTTTCCATCCATAGGGAAAGCCTGTGCCCCAGCAGTGGGCACATTAATAGGCTGATGATGATGATGATGATGAACATTGAAAAGATTGATGTGTTATTTGTATTTTTATTACTCATATTTATGTATTGAATTTTAAAAGTCATTATCATTCATAATAAGAATAATTACTGAGAATATTATTAAATTTGCGGCGCAAAACAAAGCTGGCAACGACTAGACATTATTTTAGTAAAATATGCGTATATTGGACAGCATTCTTCGTTAATTTAATTGATAAAGTAATTGCGTTGGTTATTGCAATCAGAAATTACGAAATACATATCCACTAAAATATCATAAACTTTCATCGTTTTTATATTAAAAATAATTTCTTTCCTTACTCCCAATTTCAAATGAAAAAAAAATATTTCTCATTCTCAGAGAATAGAAACAAAGATAGGTATAAAACTCGAACGCAAAATAATCTATGGGATGCAGTATAGTGGTGGCAAAAGCCCGTCTACAGGTGGTTACCCATTTCTCCCGTCGTTACGTAAGCTTAGTGAATAGTGCTCCTATGTGCTGCGGGAGTGAGCGATATAATTATCACACCAGTACAATGTTTGCTTGAATGCAGAGACAGAGAATGAATTATGTAGTTATTATTATTATTTTTTGTATCAATTCGACATTGCATTATTATTATTTGCATCAATTTGACATACATTTTTAATTTTAAATCAAACATTGATTTGCACTATTTTGTTTTGATTACTCATTGATTTATTGATTATTAATTCCATTGTACTTTTCTGAATTGAATGTTGTGTGTGCTTGTAAAGGCTTGCATATATGTCTTAGAATAAGTATTATTTTAATTTTTTAATGTTTTTATATGTTTAGCTGTAAGTACATCTATTAAATAAATAAAAAAAAATACATAAACAAATATTAACAAAATCTGTTGCGACAAAATGCATATTATTTTATAGGTTATTGATACGATAACTAGAATATATAAAAAGTGGTTCAAAAAGTGGTGTTACTACTAAAACCGAGCTTTGCAAGTTTTGGGAAATATTTCACAGTATATGTTACGCTCAATATTTAAATCGGTACCTACAAGAAAAAATAAAACCATCTGTACAGTGCCGTCTTTGACCTATTGGAGGCCCTGGGCATATTAGGATAATGGGGCCCCTATGACTTCCGTTTGGTGATTTAACAGGAACTAGGGACTTTGTATTTGATCTGAGGGGGGCCCCCCCTACCGATCGCTGGGCCCTAGGCCCAAAGTGCCCACTGGGAAAGACGGGTCTGCATCTGCATCTTGTCGTAAGCATACCGTTAGTAAAATTTAATTCATAAACAATATAATAGATGGCGTCACCGTCTTTTACTTTTTTCGGAAGACCTTTGAAGATATTTACCAATGATTGGCATATTAATTAATATACTGAAAAAATAGAAAAATATGCTTGCATAGATCATAAACACAGAAAATGGACTGAGTGACACTCGCGTGAAGTAGACAACTCGTGAAGAGACACAAAAATAGATTATACCTGTACGAGCTGAACTTTTAGATTTTAGACTTGTGCATTATGTTATTTTTTTTTTTATATATATATTTCCGACACTCACACCAATTAGCCTAGCCCCAAAGTAAGCACTATAAGGCTTGTGTTATGGGATGCTAGGGTAACGGATAGAATACACATACTGTACATATATAAGTATATTTATATAAATACATATTAAACATCCATGACTGGAGTACAAATGCTCGTATTCATCACACAAACATCTGCCCCCACCGGGATTCGAACCCGGGACCTCTCGAGTCGGCGACAGCCATGAAACCCGGCGTACAAACCACTCGGCCACGGAGGTCGTCGAATATTGCTGTTTTTTGTCTAAAATAAACATGTTTTTATTTTGAAGCATTTAACTGCTAGATGTTTTAATCTAAGAAAAAAAGGAGGTATTCGTTTGACGGTGTGGGTTACCTACAAAGCGAAGAGATGGCGCTGTCTTGAATCCTGAAAAATACTAGAAAAAATTCGGACACTGCCATTAGGACCGCGGTAGCATAATGGTCAGTGCATCCGCCGGGATAGCGGAAAGTGCAGGTTCTAGTCCCGTTTGCTGCCTGGTCCGCGTGGCACTTTTCGTAGTAAAATTTTTCTTTAGATTTAATCATACTTGTGTTTTTATTCCTTAAACTAACTTTAGTTTTCCTTTACAGTAGGACAGGGAGTATTCAATCTATTCTCCATGTCTATGGCATAGTATTATATCAGCGACCTAGGATCGGTCGCGCGCCATTTAAGAGGGTAATTAAAGCACAGTACCTGTGTCTGGTTTGTCGATCTTGGTCGGCAGCCGGCGATCGGCGAGGGAGGGCTGCTTGGGGCTGTTCCTTTTGGACGCACTCCTGGGCAGCACCAGCGATTGAGGGATCTGGAATATCACCCTGCTATTAGATCACGAAAAACTAGATACACTCTCCGGACACATCTATCGACCCACTTAAGTTTCATCGGTCTGTGTATATATATGTTAGGTTGAGCAACAATATTATATTTTAAAAAACACGAAATAGATGGTTAATAAGCAACTTCGAAACTGCGAATAACCTTTTTCGGTCGCCGGAGGGCAGGCGCGCGATGGTGACGTCGGCGGAGTCCTCAGGCTGCTGTATACATATGTATACACACACACACACACTCACCAGCCTGTCGGATCGGTCGCCGGAGGGCAGGCGCGCGATGGTGACGTCGGCGGAGTCCTCAGGCTGCTGTATACATATGTATACACACACACACACACTCACCAGCCTGTCGGATCGGTCGCCGGAGGGCAGGCGCGCGATGGTGACGTCGGCGGAGTCCTCAGGCTGCTGTATACATATGTATACACACACACACACACTCACCAGCCTGTCGGATCGGTCGCCGGAGGGCAGGCGCGCGATGGTGACGTCGGCGGAGTCCTCAGGCTGCTGTATACATATGTATACACACACACACACACTCACCAGCCTGTCGGATCGGTCGCCGGAGGGCAGGCGCGCGATGGTGACGTCGGCGGAGTCCTCAGGCGGGGGTGGTTGTTGGAGCCAGTTGTATTCGCGCTTTTCTACGGGAACGCCTCGTCGTTCGTAGTCTTGCGCTTGTGTTCTGGATACATACAAATCATGATATGATTATCATATTACTGAACGATAATGGTGTCTATTCTGGCACGATTCTATAAACTTCAAACTAGACGCAACGAATATTCGGTTACTATTCGGTATTCGGCCCATTCGGCTGCTTTTATTCTATTCGGCCGAATACCTAATATCTACATATTATTCGGCCGAATACCGACTACTTAAAAAATATATTTATTCATAGAGAAATAATTGGTAAAATGAAAAATTAAAATCGATTGATTACGTATATATTCATATTTTTGCATTTCTGTTATATAATCATTTAAGTAGTCATTGGTACATAACACAGGTACATAATCATCATCTGAATTGGAAAAATGGAGGATTCTATGTATTTGAATTATTGTGGTAATCAAAATTTAGAAGGGTAAGGTTCTCATTTCTTTTATAATCATTTATTAAGTAGTCATTGGTACATAAAACAGGTACATAATTTAATCATTTTCTGTATTAAACAAGTTAACAGTTTTTAATTCATTCAGTCATGTGATGAATGGTTAAATAATAGCAATAATGTAAAGTTTACGCCCGTTTTTGGCCATATCATATTTAACCGCATTTTAGCTTGAGGACGGCAGATAAGAACAAAACAAAGGAGCGAGAAACAAGTCTGTACAAGTTTTTGGCGCTAAAATCTAGCCGAATACTTTTGCCTAATATTCGGTCAGGGGCCTCGCCGAATATTCGGTATTCGGTATACTGCCGAATATACTTCGTTGCAAGTCTACTTCAAACTAAATTTAACATCAGTCTCTCTTTCTCATTCTGTGTAGATAATGACAAGGATACACTGTTGTCAAATTCAAGTTTAGGTTTAGAATCTCTAGGTTATTTAATGCAACAGTGGTGTAAATAACCTCTACATATTGGATTAACACCCCCAAGAGAGTAGGAGATACAAGCTCCGAAGAGCAATCTTTCATCGACTACCAGATGAAAAGTAAGTTTTGTCAAGTATTTTTTATAAAGAAAACATCATTTTCATCAATTTACCTACTTACAAAATAGTGTAATTTTATTTTCAACGCTTTTTATTAAAAATTGGCATGAATAATAGTTTTATAGGCAACGAAATTGCGATTTGTTTTCTATATAGAAAATATATTTCGTCTTATAAACAGATGAAGTTCGACCTTCCTTCGTCAAGTGCTATTTGTAATTTTATAAACAAAGAAAAAACATAGAGTTATCTACTAATCCAAGCTTTTTCTACATTTATTAATAAGAGGATGATAGATTACAAACTAAATGTCTAATTTTAGCTACTCAGTTACTTCATGATCGCAATGTCACTTAAAAAATGGCAGAATTTTAAAGAATCACGAAAAACAAGATATATCCTAAGACACAAATCGTCTAGGTACAAAAATTATATCAAATAAAATGTTGTCAAACAAAATTAGAATTCACAAAACACATTATAAGAGTTAACTCACCTTAAACTTTCATAACAGTCTAAACATACTACGGCGTAGTCACCATTTTCTAATAATAACGAATTTTCAGTCCGCCTTTGCACTAAAAATGGAAATTCCTGAAACAATATGCATTTATTACTATGCGAATATGTATTAGGTAAGTTTCAACATAAGTGAATACTTTTGTCAAGATTTTAAGACGTGACATCCTCGACATCGAGGATGATCCTCGTTCTAGACTTAGATTTCCAGTCAATACTTTTTCAATGCATTTGTGTTCTTTTATGAAGCGTAAAGTGACAATTGTCTGCAGATGTGCGGTTTTTTTTTAATTTTGAAGCCTTTCGCCACGCAGCGCAGCTGTGTTCATATGTTTTTATTTCTATAAACCGCTTTCTATTTTATATGCAGGTCAGTGCGAAATTAAAAAAAAACTTTGATAAGTTACTCCTTGGTTCCCATGATTCAGTCGAAAGATTTTAAAAATTTTAAATTACAGACATTTGATATGTTTAGTATGTTATTTAAATAAATGGGTTATATTTTTATTTCCTCGCAAAAAACATTGAAAAATGTTGTATGACACGCGAGCGTCACCTCACTTTGTGGTACTAATTCGTAATAAACTTCTTTCTTTAATATCTCGGTTCAGAAATTGTGAATACCTATATTCCGGACATTCATTAATTTTCCATCAGTCAGAGGCTTTTTTTAAGAAGTAATACGACCACGGTTATAAACAGGGTATTTGACAAGTTTTAGAAAACGAACTCACGTTATTTACTAATGTTTGTAGAGTTCATAAAAGTGGATATTCATCATTATGTTGTGTATTTCGGTAAAAAAACCAAATCAAAATCTCTATTTTCAAGATGGCGCGACAAACTTATCTCTGGACAATATAGGGTCTCACTGGTGTGTGACGTCACAGGACTGTCATTAAAACGTCAAACCATACAATCAAATGTCACTTTAACCGTAAGTTTACTTGCGTGTGATGTCATTTTAGGCTCCACCAATCCCAAGCGTTTTGGGTCACGTGACAATAGATAAGAAAATCATTATCTTTATCGAGGGTTTTTAGTAAAATTATGAATATTTTTTCATGAATATTCATTCTAAATACAGATGCTAACAATTGGCACTTTATTTTTAATACTGTCAAATACCCTATTATAGCGCGATTCAAACTTTATAGTGGTTGTGAAGTAAGCAGCGAGCGCAACTATGAGCAGGTTTCAATAAAGTGACATCCCGTTTACTGCGTTGCGACTCGCGCTAACTTCATAGCTTGACTTTGACTCACACATACTGCTGGCACTTAAAATGGCTCTAAGTGTTTGCTATGTGTAAACTTAACATCAGTCTCTCCTTTCCCTCTCTACAGAGCATGACATTAACAGATAGGACAAACTGCTGTCGAAATAACGAAAAGCAAATACGAATAACCCTGTGAAATTCTGTCATTACAGACAGTGCGACCAATGAAAGAATGCGATCCCGACAAATGTTGTTAGTTCCTTATGTTCAAGTTCAAATAGCTTTTTTATTAGAAGCAAGATGGCGCTGTAGCAATTGTTACTCGCACTATGGTTTGAGTTCCTTAGTTTCACGTAATAACAACTTTAGTTCTTTATTTAGCTAATAGATGTCACGTTAAGTCCTTGTAATCGCGGTATAGATTGCGACAGTGCGTTTGTTTAAGTAGTTTCCTATATAATTACATATCGCACCTTTATTCCAATACTGTCATTAAACAAAATTCTTCAAAAAATAGTTTTCAACGCCATCTATTTGCTACGTTATGAATCTACACATTTGCTGCTCTGCTGCATAATTTGCTTTTTTAATGATAATGACAGTATTGGAATAAAGGTGCGATATAAGATCAAGGTTCTGTTTGATTTGTTACGGTTTTTTACGAATACATTAGTTCAAGTACCTTCTGTCATTTCAACGAATCCCAATTTGCAGAGTACTTTTGCTGACCCTTGGTCTCAAACACATTAAGGCGACAGATTTAAAAGTTATTTTCGGACCTCTTTTTTAATATGTACTATCGCGGAATTTTGCGCTCTGTCACTTGGCGAACAAAATGCTTTGAACGGTTTTCTACAGTAGTATTTACTACGCCCCGCCTTCGCGTCGGACGCGCCAATCCGGGCCGCCGCACAAAAGTAAGACAGAGAGCATTTCATTGATTGAATAATGAATTGAATTGCATTTGTTTTAGTTGCAATTTGTCATCCGCATCGTGATCGCGACAGCGCTATACGAAAAAGTAGGACAGCGATAATTACATGTCTATGAATCAATTTTTACTACGCCACTACCGCAAGCGATTATGGCATTACTAGCAAACCAGTGAACCAAATGTTCACCAAAAAAAAAATGTATTTAATCAATTGAGAACTTCGGAGATTTTGTGTGGTTTCGTTTGAAATAGAAATCACGTGATTTCTCGAAAACCGGAAGTGCTACGTTACTCAAATCCGGTTTGTAGTCTTATCAGACTATTTTCAACTTATAACTTAAATATTCTCTTTATCTATCTCTTACGGTTTGGCCGCTGAAACAGCACCACGGACGGACGGACGGACTTGTCTATTAGATAAGAGATGGGTGACAGAGCGGGTCTCTCCGCGATTGTACATACTTGAAGAATGATTACCTTAATGGGCAGGGCTCTAACTCGTTTCCTGTACGTCTTGATGCCGCACAGATGGCAGTGGTAGTCGTGAGTGTTGTACGCGCGCCTTTCTGGAGGATACCCGCCCATTGATTCGTATCTACGAACAAATGGCCCAAATTATAAGCATTGTAGAGAAAACTTCACAGGAAAAAAAAATGATTCGGTCCGTATGTCAGGCAGGATTCGAACCTGCGCCTTCTACTGGCGGAGGTATTATCTTTTTAATAGAAAAAAACTTAAGAAAATTTTACTAGAAAAAATTGCACGCAGTCCAGGCAAGGCAAACGGTACTCGAAACCGCGCCCTTCGCTGTCCGTGAGAATGCAAAATCTTTGTTCTAAAAAAATCTTGAAATTTAAACAGCTAGCAGTCCAATGCTTTAATAATAGAAAATACAAAAAATACTTTACTGATTTTTTTTATACAGCTAGCCAAAATGTAATACAGCGGTATCTACAATCCACCTGCGACATCTTAACATCATAAATGTGAAAGTGAGTTTGTTTGTCTGTTTCGCTTACACGCCAGAACCACTGAACGGATTTGGATTATTTTCCGGACGATTTTCCTCTTATTAATATATAAATAAATATTTCCAACACTCACACCAATTAGCCTAGTCCCAATTTAAGTACTGTAGGCTTGTGTAATGGGATACTATGATAACGGATTCAATACATATACTGATACATACATCAAACATCTGCCCCCACCGGGATTCGAACCTGGGACCTCTCAAGAAGGCGACACCTAGAAACCTCTTGCCCGAAAAATCAACACAGATACTTACAGTCGTATCAAAATTTCATCTTATGGAAAAAAAAAACAAGGTGCAAATTCATTTTCAGAAAATACGTACGTAGGTAGTATTATTTCCTCGCAAATATGTTAAAAAACGTCGTTTGATAATTACAGCCTCTGCCTTCTTATAGTTCTCACCTACGGCTCGGGATAACAATATCGCCTCGGCTGTAATTCTCAACTTACCGCACTTATATCATAATGGTACTTATATTATAATACATTTGTACTCACCGCCTCCATTGGCTGAGCAATGAATGGTAACAGAAGGTGCACACTAGCGCCGAACCGTTCTCTCTCAACTGCTCAGCATTTGGATGACTCTGTATGGGGAAAAAATACAAATATGAAAAATAAATAAGTAGATTAGAATTTTATTTAATTTACTCATTCATTTATTTTGTGGCGGCGACATCTATATGCCCCACATATAGACAACGGATGGAGGAAATCATTACTCACCATCCTCAATAGATGGCGTTACCTGCACTGCGATCAATAATAGTATGGAAGCCTACATCGCGCAAATGAAATCCGGAAGCTAACTCTTGAGGATGGTAAGTAATGATTTCCTCCATCCGTTGTCTATATGTGGTGTGTAGTACAATTTTATTTACTAATTTAGTACACACACAATAAAACAGATAAGTAGAACAAGAACGGGAAATTTGTACAAGGCACTGCTTATTTCATATTGAAATTTCTTCTATGTTTTATGTTGTTTCAAACTTTCATGGTCGATAAAATTATAGTACTTTTATGTATAATGGTCAGTGCATTCGCCCGGATAGCGAAGAGTGCGGGTTCCAGTCCCGTCTGCTGCCTGGTTCGTGTGGATTTTTTTCAACGTAAAATTTTCTTTACATTTAAACATCTAGTAGGTAAGGGGTTAGGGGGCGTCCATAAATTACGTGAGATGTTTAAGGGGAGGGGGTCGAATCAAATCTCATCTAATCTTACGTCGGAGAGAGGGGGGGTCTCGGCAAATATCACGCAATTTTTTTTCACAGTAGTATCTATTAAGTATTCTATTGTTAAATTTTTATTACACTTATAACTCTCAGCAGTATTGATTACTAGTCTTAACTAGTCGTAAATAAAAGCACGAAGCATTTTTTTTTTCTTTTTACAATAACTATCCAACGCGTTTACGAAAGAAACCCACATTTTGAAAAATCTCACGTGAGATTAGGGGATGGGGGAGGGGGTTTAATAAAATCTCACTACATCTCACCAGGGGAGAAGGGAGGGACAGAAAATCCAAAAAAAAACACCTCACGTAATTTATGGACGCCCCCTTAATAGATAAATATATCACCTGATGCGTCAGTAGACAGGGGAAGTACGGCGCGTTCCCCTGCGGCTGTCCGTACAACACTCGCGCCAGGGTGAAGTCAGAGTGTAGCCCGCACAGGAAGCAGTAGATTGAAGTACACGCTAAGAGAAAAACATATCATAAACATACTGTTTCATCACTCTCTCAACTAAAACAATGCACCGAATATTTCTCTCGGGCTAGCACTTCGCAAGTCAATTCTTATTTGAGGAGCTGGTGAACAAAACGGTATAATTACACATCTGTACCCCTAGCACTAGAACCAATATCGAATTCGTATCGTTTCATCATCAGCCTATTAATGTCCCCACTGCTGGGGCACAGGCCTTCCCTATGGATGGAATAGGGAGATTGGGCCATGACCCACCACGCGGGCCCAGTGCGGATTGGTGGGTGCTAACGACTGCAGATGTAGCCGGGACCAACAGCTTAACGTGCCTTGCGAAGCACGGAGGAGCTCAAGATAGTAAATTTTTGGTCACCCATCCAATGACCGGCCAATGCGAAAGTTGGTTAACTTCAACGATCGCAGCAGAACGCGCTAACCACTTGCGCCATCGAGCTCATCCTTCAAAAATTTAGTAAAAAATACTATATTTATAAATTAAAAACCACGCCAAACGCTCACTGGAGGTATGTCATTCAGTTCTATGCAGCTCCTGTAAAATTTAATTTTATGTAATTATACCGGTTTGTAGGCCAACTCCTCATTTGCAATAGGCTATTTGACAGTATGAAAACTAAAGTACCAAATGTCGGCATCTGTATTGAAATATGAACAAAATTAGGTGGCTAATGTGTGTCGATTGTGGCATTGTTATTTAAACCTAAAAAAAGAAATGATGTGGTGTCGTGGGACACCAGGTAGGAACAAAGTTCCTTCGGCTAATGTAGAATCGACACAAATTGCAAACTCGCTTGTGTATGCGACTGTCGCGCCTGCGCACGTCTCATTTAACGGTTTTATTCCACGCACTTTTTTCCACGGATTTTTTCTTACGGTTTCACTATCACATTTTTTTCAGTTAGGTCGGTTTTTTTCAGTACAAAATCCCTATCCCCTCCAAGCCTGCCGTAAGGAACTTCGTTCCAATATAAGCAACGATTTAACTTATTCGGGGGGAACAAATTAAATAACTAATAACTTGTCTAATAAAAAATAATTAAATTGAAATCGTTATTTTTTCTTGCGATCTAAGTGATTTTGCGCAAGGTGGCTGACAGGAGCTGGATGCGAGTAGCCCAAGATCGATCTGAGTGGCGTGCAATTGGAGAGGCCTATGTCCAGCATTGGACTAGGATAGGCTGTTGATGATGATGATGATCTAAGTGATATTACAATGTATTGTTTGACCCTGGCTACAGTACAGGGTTACCTTACTAGTTTGTAGATAAATCTTTAATTGTACTCACCGCTATTACTAGCCACGGTTCTCTCCGACGTGGTGGAGGGAGGGGTGGGGATGACTCTCTCGCCATTGGCTGACGAGTTTGAAGGCAGCGGCGACGGAATGTTGTATCTGTAACCGGACTGCGCATTACACATACATTACACTCCTATTACACTGCTCCTAAAATGTTATTGCTATACTCAGACATGTCCTTTAACTTCAAAGTTTGAACTAAAGTGATTGTTTTAAACTTTCATGGTCACTAACATTATAGTAATATAAGTTATTTACCGGATTGTTACCATGTACCTTGTTTTTAGCAAGTTTCCGATATTTCGGCGCTGTTGCAAGCGCCACGATCACGGAGTAACTGAAGTAATTGCGGGTAGATGTTATTGGCAGACAACTGTTCGAACAGTTTCGAGTGAATAGTGAGAATGTGAACAGTGGTACGGGTATCTAATGCAATAAAAGACTTCTTCGTCATAGGGTAGACCGATATGTCTGCCAATAACAACCTACCCGCAATTGCTTCAGTTACTCCGTGACCATGGCGCTAGCAACAGTGCCGAAATATCGGAAACTCGCGCAAAACAAAGTACATGGTAACAATCCCGTAAATAACTTATATTACTATAAAGTGTATAATGGTGCCGATACTGGCATGACTCTCTAAATTTGAAATTAAATTTGCGATCTGTTTCTCCTTTTAATTCTGTATGGAGAAATACAAAGATACACCGTGGTCAAATTTAAGTTTAGGTTTAGAAATCTACGTCAGAATTGACACCATTGAGTGACAACAATAGAATGAGCAAACACGTGACTTACTGGAGCATTAAATTAATTTGACACTTCTGAGTATGGATAGATAGATAGATAGATAGATAGATAATGCGTTTATTTTTTTCTTCAACATACATATACATTTACAGACAGAGTAATACAATAAAAAAAGATACAAGAAATCAGTTATGAAATATCTATATGTATGCTGCAGAAAGCAAAAGGCCAAGGCTCGGCTAAACATTTGCCAGTTTTAAGGCAAAATACCGATTTTCAGCCATCACCTTTATGAGTGAGTAGACTAGCTTTATTAATAATAAATATTAAAAGATTTTGCAAGGAGAAAAGAGAAAACAGCCATGACAATGCAGTGGAGACAAACACATATTTACTATAGAGACAAATAATGAAGTGATTGTTGGCGAGATAAAATTAGATGATATCATACATATATAATAACTATAATTACACATGATTTATTTAAAGTATATACAAAAGTAGTATCCGGAAACTGTTTGGAAAACAAGGCTACCTGCCCTGCCACACATAAAACTTGGGGATGTCTAATTTTTGGATTTCTAAAAAGTATATTTTTATCTGCTTTTTAAAAGTGACTTTGGAAGCCAGTTTTCTCATAGGTGGAGGCAAATCGTTCCAACATTTGGTAGCCTGGAAGCGGAAGCTGCCACGGAAAGCCGCAGTTCTGTGAATAGTATGGCTGTTTGTGTCATGTTTAAAAAAATGGGTGCGTGTACTTATGTAGGCGCGTGAGAAGTTATCCTTCTTTGGCATCGTTTAAAATTAGTTTTTAATTGCATGCAAATAATTAATTACAATAAAGTAATAAAAAGTCTGGAAAAGGACACAGTCAATAAAGTTCAGTTTTAATTTGAAAAAATAAATAAATAATCAAAATATTCAATTAAAATCGCTACTGAATATAATTTATTAGAACATATGTGATTTGCACTTGTATGAAACTCAAACACGTATTCCGAATATACAAACTAGAAACATGTGGATAAATATTATAAATATGAATACCTATAACTGTTACTTTATTACAAAAAATAAAGATGTGGTTTTTGGTTCTACTACACCAATGGTCAAGAGATGGCGCTGTAGTCTCCTGAATCGCGCTTTGGTTCCGTTGTTCCAGATTAATAAATACTTTTGATATTATAAATATGAATACCTATAACTGCTACTTTATTACAAAAAATAAAGATGTGGTTTTTGGTTCTACTACACCAATGGTCAAGAGATGGCGCTGTAGTCTCCTGAATCGCGCTTTGGTTCCGTTGTTCCAGATTAATAAATACTTTTGATAGGCCTTCACAATGCAGTCGTTAGCACCCACTAAATAGAGATTCTATTTCTATTTTTTTGGTAGATTTTCTTAATGTGCGGTAAACACAAAAGTAACAGCATGAAGTTGCGCGCGCATCTTAAAATTTCACTCTCATCATTTTTTCATAACGCGCCTTAAGAAGTATAACTTCAATAATGATGTTGTTGAATGAACTTATAATGTGAGGTACGATGATAGTGTATCGCAGATGACTTTCGAGTGACATAAAGTAGTACGGTAAATTAAAAAAAGTTTTGATGGCATCTATAGTCGTTAGTCACATACAAATAATCATGGGTCATGAATTACATGATCTTCTTATTTCATCTCAATATGGAAGGCCTACGGCGGAGCGGATCGCAGAATACTTTTGTCGAAGACCAATTTGTCCCTGAGAGTTGTACGTTTGGAGTCTCGCCACGACGTGAATTTCAATTCATTTGTGGTGAGAATGCCGACAGAACATCTGGAGATTCTTTTTGAAAGAGGATTTTTTTTTGACATCAAATAGGCTTCAAATAGGCGCATGACGGCCACGCGCCTGATGAAGAGCGACGTAGCAGCCTAAGGTGGGACGCGCTTGCCAAGAAGAAATCGATTCACTCGCGCTTTGAAGAGTCCCAGATTATATAGGTGACTGGAAACAGAGATTCCGGCAAAGAGCTTTGGCTGAAAGGTGAAGTGTTCCTGCGTTTCAAAGGCAGGCTACCTGACACCACTCCGCGCCACACGTCGCCGACTAAACATTTTATTTAGAATTTGTTATTATTTTATATTTCACTAGCGGCACGCCCTCGCTTCGCTTCGGTGTAGAGCTGAAGTGTAGACTACAGTTCTCAGGCTTGTATTATACACAACGACATTCATCTATGATTCTTCTTATACCTGCATGCAAAGTCTCAGCCCGATCGGTTTAAAATTGACAAAGTTTCATACAAACTTTCATTCCGTATTTTATCCCCTTGGGGGTGGAATTGATCAAAATCCTTTCTTAGCGGATGCCTACGTCATAACATCTACCTGCATGCCAAATTTCAGCCCGATCCGTCCAGTGGTTTGGGCTGTGCGTTGATAGATCACTATGTCAGTTAATAACCTTTGAGTTTTATATCTAATATATAAAATTGTCGTGTCGCGGTGTTTGTGGTTAAACTCCTCCGAAACGGCTTTCCCGATTCTCATGAAATTTCGTGTGCATATTGGATAGGTCTGAGAATCGGACAACATCTATTTTTCATCCCCCTAAATGTTAAGGGTAATCCACCCCTAACTTTTTTTTTCAATTTTAGATTTTGTTTTTAATTTTTTTATGATACATCATACAAAAATACATACAACCTTAAATTTTCACCCTTCTACCACCAACCTCTATGTTTTTATGGCGGTACGAAGTTCGCCGGGACAGCTAGTAGGTATATAGATATCCATGTTAGACTATAAGGTATATATTTCTATGGCCCTACGATGCCTGAATACAAATAAATAAATAATAAAAGGCCCATGAAGACAGTGTAAAGTGATGAAGTGCAGTGTAATTTAATATAGTGAAGTATGCAGTGTGACGTGATGTAGTATATGGTGGTTACCTCCTATGTTCTAGCGGCACCCGCTCCGCGTCCATCAGCTCCCACTGCCTGGCCAGATGCCTCACGCACCGGCTGCAGGCCAGCACGCGGCCCCCCCTCCCGACGCCGGCCCCCGCCCCCGCCCCGGCCCCCGCCCCCGCGAGGCAGGGGAAATGCATCGCGTGGGAGTTCATGTACTCCGCGGTGGTAGACAGCCATTCCATCGCGTGGGGCGGACATAGGCCGGCGCATACGTAACACCTACGCGCCAAAATTGTAATGAATAGTTGAATAGTAAATACTTTTTAAGTGCTTGGGTTATAGAATACGCAACATGCACATCGATTTTGAAACCTCCCTTGCCTTTCACAATATAACACCTTAAACGCCGACGGGACCTAACAGATATAAATTGTTCATATAAAATCTTATATAATATGATAGATAATACATCTTTATTAGAGAAAATATATTTCCGTGTACCCAGAAGGCAAGAGGGAACAAATCGTAAAAAAATTACATTTTTTATTAAGCCAAGTAAAACTTATTACGGAAACAACAGTTTTATAAAAAGAGCTTCCGCAGTTTACAATGACTTTTCTCACGAATATTGATATTTTTGAGACAGCCAAACATAAGTTTAGGAGTAGTATTGCTGAACTCATATAAGGCTGAAATTTGTAAATTAAGTAAGTATTAATTCTTGTGTTACTTTATGGACATTTGCTTGAAAATGCTTTGCTGCTTAATTCTTTTTTGGTATGTTATTTATTTCTTATGTGTGTGATGCTTTGAGCTTAAATGTGTATGTTGATGTTTATATTGCTAAATATAATAGTAAAGAATAAATTCATACTTGAATTATTTAAGGAAACTTTAATGCGATTCAAATAACAATAAGAAAAAGCCAATGACCTCCATCTGTCAAATATCGCTTGAAAAGTACGGTTTGCAAAAAAATCTCGGAACCCTTTTTTAGCAATCAGTTAATTCTAGAATAAAACCAATCATTTAAAAAAAAACAATAACAAATATTGATAATTAATATTGGTTGATATTTTTTTTCTTTTATTCAGCTTTGGCTATGAATGGTTGATAACCTAAATCGTCAACCAAATGTCACTTTAAGTTGCGTTCAGAAACTCGACTTAAAACTTTCGTTTACATAAAGGATGCATGTTCATATGTGACCTGCATAATTATTCATACCTACTCCGGCGGTAATGCAGAGATGAGCGGAATTGAAGAACTAAATTTTGAACCTTTTTCTAACACAGTCTTATTAAAGAAATATTATTAAAAATCGGTTGTTTTTTTTTCAATCTTAGTAAATTAATTTTATTAAAAAAATGTTATGTTTTTTCTCACTTAATCTTAATAAATAAGTTTTATTAAATAAAAACTTTTTTGCTCACTCTACCTATTTGGTTTAAATTTACAGCTATGACGGCACAATATGGCGCCCAGTCCTATTCTTAGTTGAATCGCATTATATAGGTCTTTCAACCAATGATATCTCTGTATCAATGATAAACATGTGTGACTGTTTGCTTCTTATTAATAAGAAAAAATGATAAAGAGTCCCTCGATTCCGGACAATTCGAATTAAAATGTAAACTATGCGAGATCTAATAAACCCAGTTTGACACAAACGACCGTTTCCATGTGAAGAAAAATTTATATTCTTTTATGTTTTCTTATTAAGCACAACACTATTCTCTAAAACCTTTACATACACGCTTATAATACTCGAATTAGAAAATAAAATTTAACTTAATTAAACATCCGATTAGTACGAAATCCGCCGGGATTCATTTATAATAAAAATATCCTAAGAACCCGCTCCCATAGTTTGTTAGCCAAAAAATTTGTTAAAAAAAGCATCCGGTTTTCCGATATCTAGACAACGATATTAAATACCCTAGATACACCAACACGAACAAAATCGTGCCCGTAACCTGTCCAAAAGGTACATTGAACCATCCACGGCGCTCCGTAAGATGATCGCGTTGTCAAAATAAATATAAGGCCTTATTAAAATATTGAAAGTAACCTTTAATACATACTGTATAAGGTCTTAAATAAAACGCATGCGTCAAGGACTTCTGACAGTTCGAAATGCAAGCTCGTAAAATTTTACGACTTATTGCTATATGTGGAAGAATTTAGATCTTAGTTCTTTGACTCTACGCGCAATTCTGAACGCGCTGTTAGCAATATAGCAGGCACGGGGAAAAGAGACGGATATATGGCGACGTTTAACCGACCATGCGTTTGAATATCACAAATATTTTATATTAAATCAGTTTATAGTAAGTATTAGATCAAAATTAACTTCAAATGCGTTAAATTAACAAACATTGACTAGATACCTGTCGATAAATCGACACTTTTCGTATTCTAAGTATTATTTTCGCATTTTTTCGCGGAGCTCTGTGGCATCTTGACTTTGTAACGGTCCGCGCGTGACTGTGAACCACGAAGTGCTTGAGTGGAGTTCAAGCACTTCTTGATTGGGACACATTTTGAGCGCTCGTGGTGTATCTAGGGTATTTAATATCGTTGTATCTAGAACATAATTATAGAGTTCGGATACCTCAAAAGCAGCAATTTTTTAAAAACTTCCATCATAATTATTAAATTAAAACTTTTCCAATAGTCTAAATACAAAACAAAGATTGCATAAAAGTGTACCATTAGGCACAAGGGTTACAATATATATTTTGGTACGTACCTAAACTGCCCCAACCCGTTTTCTCCGGAGACAATTTGACTTTGTGGACTACTTGATAGGGCATTTGACGGCCTTTTGTTTGATTGACTTGAACTACTTGACTTTATATCGTATGGCTTAAACCTGCAAGAGAGAATGTGCTTTATCAACTTAGCTATATATACAGATGTAGATTCAATATATTGTTTTAAACTTTCATGGTCACTAACACTGTAGATATTAACGGGTGGGTTTAAATTGTCAAGTGTCTGGAATCCAGTGGTTCGTATGTGCAAAAACAGCAAAAAGCAAAAAAAGTGTCGTTCCGGGATCTGATACTGTGAGTATTGTGTGTCGGGAACACATGCGAGTGAATAGTGACAATGTGACCAGTGGTAGGGGTATCGATCGCAGTAAAAGACGACGTCAGAGGATAGACCGATATGTCTGCCAATAACATCTACCCGCAATTACTTCAGTTACTCCGTGATCATGGCGCTTGCAACAGTGCCGAAATATCGGAGACTCATAAAAAACAAGGTACATGGTAACAATCCCGTTAATAGCTATAATGTAGATTCAAATTAGCATGACTAAACTTTCATCAATAACAAATGGCAATTTTGAAATATTTAATTACATTGCTGTATTTTTTTATCTTACGTTAATAAATAAATAACAATTATATCAATAATGCGGGCCTACACGGTTTTCCAGTAAATAATGAAGAAAATTTTAAAAGTTCCCAAAAGAAACATTGTAAAACAAGTCAGAGATATACCATGAAAACCATATCAACATAAAATTCATTTCAATATCACATTGCATAAAATTGTATCTGTTCCCTTTGTATATGTTGATAAGCGAAAAAAAATATTCATCAAACTAAAATTTTACTTTTTGAATTCTGACTTATTTAAAATGTTATCTCATACAAGAAGGTATATCTACAAGCGACCATACTTTAAAAAACTACAGCATCTAGTGCCAGCCCTTCACTTGACTATTCGTATTTACCGGGAAGGATTTTATGCGCTGACCCGTCATCTACAGTATTGTTTCTTAGGTTTTCACTCACATCACTCATTAAATAAAACTAGTTTTAACGGGTTAATGCACGAACTTTATTTATTTATTGACGTTTCGCAGCCTTTTCAGGTCTGCATCGTCAGAATAATGTTTTTTTATTTGCTTTGTCGAGCTACATTCGAAAGACTTTTATTGAGCGTGCGGTTATTTCATTGGAAGATTTTTAAAATTTTATTGTCTATGTATGAATTTATTAGTTAATTTAGTTAATGAAGTACTTTATTTAAAATTCTCTTTTGTAATTTTGAGTTTATTTTTTTGACCCTAACTACCGTAACCTACCACCGGTTCCAAAATTGTGAGACCTTTCTGAGAAGAACCGGCGAAATAAACTCAGAGAGGCTTTCTATCTCCTATTATTATATTATTTATCTATATAAATAAACTCAAAATTACAAAAAAAAAATTTTAATAAGTACTTTATTAACTAAATTAAGTAATAAATTCATACATAGACAATAAAGTTTTAAAAATCTTCCAATGAAATATCCGAACGCTTAATAAAAGACTTTCGAAGGTAGCTCGACAAAGTAAATAAAAAATCAGTATTCTGACGATGCAGACCTGAAAAGGTTGCGAAACGTCAATAAATAAATAAAGTTCGTGCTATTAACCCGTTAAAACTAGTTTTATTTATCTATAGTATTGTTGATCGCATTCTAGCCCCCTTATTAATAAAAGAAGCATAAGCTTGGATTACTTACTCCATGTTTTGTCTCTGTTCATCGAATGACAAATGGCATTTGTGTGGTATGAACAGAACACGGCGTAACTAGTCTCAGCTTATTCTTCGTTTAATAATAAGGAAAGAAAAGAATGTAAGTAAGTTCACAATTAGCAATAACGAATAGCCATAGTGCCGACATGAATAAATTTTTAAAAACATAAAAATTAATAGGGTTTTGACAGTATTAAAAATAAAGTGCCAATTGTTAGCATCTATGTTTAGAATGAATATTGGCAGGTGTTTTTACTATATTTACAAAAAAATAATGTTAATTTTACTAAAAACCCACGAAAAAGAGATAATAGTTTTCTTATCTATTGTCACGTGACCTAAAACGCTTGGGATTGGCGGAGCCTAAAATGACGTCACACGCAAGTAAACTTTCGGTTAAAGTGACATTACATTGTATTGTTTGACGTTTTAATAAAAGTCGTGTGACGTCACACACTAGTAAGACGCCATATTGTCCAGAGAAACGTTTTCGCGGCAACTTGAAAATGGAATTTTTGATTTGGTTATTTTTACTGAAATACACAACAGAATGATGAATATCCACTTTTTAGGGACTCCATAAACATTAGTCAATAACGTGACATCGTTTTCTAAAACTTGTCAAATACCCTATTGGAAGCCAAGTAAAAGACTCCTAAAGATGACAATTGTTTACTGAAAATTTCCTTATATTTAAAATTGTAGTATATTCATAGCTTTCATAATTAAAACACAAATATGTAGTACATTCTGCTCACCTAATATTGTTGGTGTGTGAGTTGTTGTGTGCCGGGTTCGGTTCCCCGTTCTCCCCGTACGCGGGGTATTTGTGAGGTATACTTTTGTAACACGACGCACAAATCTGCACCATACCTGGGTAGTAAAAAAGATATTTTTTAATACTTTAATATCTGTAATTGTTGGAGTAGTTTAGTAACAAAAAAAATCAATAGCACAGTGTTTTTTAGCGTGTATGCTGTTGGTCGCAGATCACCTTTACAGCGTCACCGGGTTTTGGGACAGCGAGATCCTAAGGGGACCTCAAGCCGAGAATTGGCGAGTGCCTCTAAAGGTATTCCAGGCGGATGGCATCTCCCCACGGGGGGAGTCTCCTCTCCATTTGGAGCCTCTAGACCACGAGCACCTGAGGGGGTCGGCTCAACTAGAGGGCGTTTCTGACACTCGGACCTCGGCTCTAGTTAGCCGTTGTCGTGGAGGGCGTCGATAGCACAGTGGTGAGGGGTCGGCCAATAATCACGTGATGCTTATTTAGTGAATTATCCCTCCCCCTCTCCTGGTTATATGTAGTGAGGATAGAGTCAACGTTCACTACCCCATACCAGAAAACAAGTGCATTTTTTAGTACAAAACAGAATTGAAATTGGCGATGCCTGGCAACGATGCGTCCATTAAATACCCTAGATACAACAACACGAACAAAATCCAAAGGGTACATTGGATATGGTGCTCCGTAAGATGATCGCGTGGTCAAAAACAATATTACCTTAATGCATACTGTATAAGGTCTTTATTAAAACGCATACGTCAAAGACTTACGGCACTAATTGGTATATGCGGAAGAGTATAGACCTTAATTTTTTTGACTCTACGCGCAATTCTGAATGCGCTGTTAGCAATATAGCAGGTACGGACCGCGAGGAAACGAGACGGCTAAAGGGCGACGTATGGCCGACCGACCGTGTTTCAGTGGTGTTCAAGCACTTCTTGATTGGGACACATTTTGAGCGCTCGTGGTGTATATCTAGTGTTTAATATCATTAGCGTCCAAGCGCCATTGTGAGGTTAGGAAAGCGATAAGTAAATACGCACACATGACTTCTCATATCTCTCCTTGTGATATTTCGTGATTTTAGATTTTAGATTTTACGGGGGCGTACCCGGTGAGGAACCTCCACTCCTCTAAATCCAGCCTTGAATTGGACTGTGCCACAATAGTGGCGACACTAATAGGCTGATAAAGATGACGACAATTTAACTATAGGAAAACATAGAATCTCGTCAACTTTTTTTCACAAGCCTAACAGTGCTTACTTTGGGGCTAGGCTAATTGGTGTGAGTGTTGGAAATATTTAATTTATTTATTTTAACTTTCAAGAAGCTTTACACCATATTACGTATTTAACGAAGTGTTTCGTCGCTTTTCATCGAATCACAAATGTCTTTTGAGTGATCTAAACATAACACTTTTAAATAACAAGAACAAAGCCTATTTAAAGCGTTGGAAATAACATTGGAAAAAAGCCCTCATGAAAACGGATCTCTAACAGGCTCACAATAAAGATGAAAATTGGTTGTATGTGAAATGGGATGACTGCCGCTGCATGTATTTTGCAAACTTTCAAGGAAAATAATTCTGAATAAATGGGTGACGTTTGCAAAACAGATACGAGCTCGTTTTTCACTCTGTCAAACGTCCGTGTACTACTTACATGTCGTTGACAGACATAGAATGACTTTATTCAGATGACGTTAATATCCCATCATCTGATTTTAAAACACAGGCAGGTTATACCTATTGCGATTCAAACTTAATGGAGGTTGTGAAGTGAGCGCGAGTCGCAAAGCAGTAAAGAAATTGAAGGGCGAACGCGCGGGGTGTTACTGAAAAGAACTGATATGCCCAAGAGTAATAGGGTATTTTCCAAATTTTTGAAAACTGCTTATATTTAAAGGATGGGACAAAAGGTTTAACAGACAAATAAAAATGAATTATTTAATGTCTTTTTTCTCCATTAATAAAATTAAAGTTGAATTTATTTTCAAAGGTTTTGAATTTACCGCCATAATGCTCTGTTTGGTGACGTCTATTGTGTGACGTCAACTTTGTGTATGTTATGTAATCAACTGAAGGTCAAATTATTAACTTTTTTTACGTTCGGGATAAAGGACAATGCCAGAAGTTCTATAGAGGTTTAACCCACCCGATAAAAATGGTGTACACGAATGCGATAAATGATATTTCATAGCTGTAATATTAGGAATCAAAATAGTAAAGTTGTAAATTCTCTAGAAGCTGTGGTTATTGAATAATATACTTACAAAGAGTACAATTATCATGCGTTTCTCGAGCTGCAATTTGAGCAGAAAATTGGAATTTCTATAAATTATTATTCAACAGTGTTCGTATTGTAGCTGATAGTGTTTAAACGATATGCCTTTGTATTCTATCGACACATAAATAACAATTTATGCATCTCAACATGGTTCCAAATCACAAACGACAATGTCGTACAAATCCTTTTGTTTGACGGAAATGTCAATCAAAAGGATATCAATCCAGAGTAACGTTTAGTTTCACATATTTACTACCACTTAATAATGTGTATGCGCATTAAAAATACAAGGTACTATAATCGTTAAACTTTTTTATAAACATAAATTAATTATATTTATAACCGAAATGCTTATTTTATCCATAATATTAAAAATAGAATGATATTTTGCGAAAACTTGACTGGTATTTTATTGTTTGTCGTGAAACAAAACGCAGATGCCATGTTTTCGTTCTTCTCCTAACGGAAACAGTAGATACAAATTATTTTAATATTTATTTCGTATCCGCCGCTTTTACAAAGTAATAATTAAATCGGTACGAGAAAAAAAGTCGTATATATTTTTTCATAAATTTAACATTACTGTATATGGTGGGTCAGAATCTGTCATTGTCATTTATAGTATAATATGTGTACTTACACAAAATATTTTAAGAAAAGAAATCCTCAAATAATTATTCCGTAATCACAGATCGTCCTCAGACTACATAGGTGTTAAAATTCTTTACACTAAGTTGACGTCACATAGTGACATCATCGAACCGAGCGTTTTGGCGGTAAATTCAAAACCATTAAAAATGAATTCAACTTTAATTGGTTTAGTGAAGAAAAAAAGACAATAATTAATTTATTTTTATTTTCTGTTTGTGGCGGCGACATCTATATGCCCCACATATATACAACGGATGGAGGAAATCATTACTCACCATCCTCAACAGATGGCGTTACCTGCACTGCGATCTTAATAGTATGGAAGCCTACATCGCGCAAATGAAAGTCGGAGGCTAACTCTTCATATATACGATGCCCGACCAACATCAGTCGGGCCGCGGCCCCCGAGCTAACATCACCCAGCTCGGAGGAAGATCTTCCCCTTCGGCCTTCCTAAATGTGTAATCGTTTGTCCCAATCTTTAAATATAAGCAGTTTTCAAAAATTTGTAAAATACCCTATTCCCGAATAAAGAGAAAAAAACCGGTACAACTAAATTATTTTCAGAAGGTTCAGAACTACGGCAGCAGATAACCAAGAGAAGTTAAGACTCCATAAAATCAGGATTAATTCCCGAGTTTAGAGTGAATTCCCCGGGATATGCTTGCAAGAAAGCAACCCAGTAACCTTGCTGGCTGATTGGTCTAACGTCCTGGTGACGTTGAAGCGTCGTTAAAAAGGGGTAGTACGAACTTTCTCCGGATTGGGTCAGCAATACACCAAGAGGATTAGCGACTATTTGAAATCAGGAGTAATTCTCTGGGATATACAGGCAAAAAGGGTGGAGAAGCAATTCACCGGGTTATGTCTGCTAAAAAGCAGTACAACTAACCTTGCTGGCTGATTGGACTAGCGTCCTGGTGACGTTGGAAAGTCGTTAAAAAGGGGTAGTACGTACTTTCTCCGGATTGGGTCAGCCATATACGAAGTGGATTCGGCACTATATGCAATCAGGAGTAATTCTCTGGGATATACAGGCGAAAAGGGTGAAGAAGCAATTCTCCGGGTCATGTCTGCTAAAAATCAGTACAACTAACCTTGCGGGCTGATCGGGCTAGCGTCCTGGTGACGTTGGAACGTCGTTAAAATGGGGTAGTACGTACTTTCTCCGGATTGGGTCAGCAATACACCAAGAGGATTAGCGACTATATGAAATCAGGACTAATTCTCTGGGATATACAGGCAAAAAGGGTGGAGAAGCAATTCTCCGGGTTATGTCTGCTAAAAATCATTACCACTCCGACCTCCGTGGCCGAGTGGTTTATACGCCGGGTTTCAAGGTGTGGCCATCTCGAGAGGTTCCCGGGTTCGAATCCCGGTGGGGGGCAGACGTTTGTGTGATGAAAACGAGCATTTGTATTCCAGTTTAATATGTATTTCTATATAAATATACTTTTATATGTATCAGTTTATGTATTCTATCCGTTACCCTAGTAATTCATAACACAAGCCTACAGTGCTTACTTTGGGGGTAGGCTAATTGGTGTGTTAAAAAAAAAAACTAACCTTGCGGGCTGATCGGGCTAGCGTCCGGATGCGGTTTGAGCGTCGTTATGAAGGGGTAGTACGGTTCCCGCTCCGGATTGGGGCAGCAGTACACCAGCCGCAGTTGCGACGACGGCGCCGGCACCCCGCACACGTAACACACGAAGCTGGCGGTGGATGGAGGGGCCGGAGGGTCCAGGGAGGGGGAATGGGTGGTGGTGGCTAAGGACTTGTCTCCGGATGACGCGAGGCTGAGGGGGGACGGGGGCAGGAGGGACGGGGGCCGGGTGCGGAGGGTGTACATGCGCTCGTTGGCGGGCACGCCGCGCATCTGTGCGGGACAAACAGAACACAGGTTAATGTGATGAAGTATCATCTTAATCATAACTACAACAATTCTTGCCACCTTCAGATGATACGGGGCGAGTTTACAAGCTACTAGCGAACTCGCCCCGTGTCATCGAGGCTGTACTACATACGGATCCTAACAGGATTATAAGAATAATACATACGAAAAATTTCAATCATCATCATCATCAGCCTATCAATGTCCCCACTGCTGGGGCACAGGCTTTCCCTATGGATGGAATAGGGAGATCGGGCCATGACCCACCACGCGGGCCCACTGCGGGTTGGTGGGTGCTAACGACTGCAGATGCAGCCGGGACCAACGGTTTAACGTGCCTTCCGAAGCACGGAGGAGCTCGAGATAGTCAATTTTCGGTCACCCATCCACTGACCAACCACTTGCGCCATCGAGCTCCTCCTTTCAATACATTATTTGATATTACATTTTTCAATCTGATTTCAGTAGCTCGATGGCGCAAGTGGTTAGCGCTTTCGACTGCGATCGTTGAAGTAAAGCAACATTCGCAGTGGTCGGTCATTGGATGAGGGACCGAAAATTTACTATCTCAGTTCCTCCGTGCTTCGGAAAGCACGTTAAGCCGTTGGTCCCGGCTGCATCTGCAATCGTTAGCACCCACCAATCCGCACTGGAACCATGTGATGGTTCATGGCCCAATCTCCTTATTCCATCCAGAGGGAAGGCCTGTGCCCGAGGGGGGACACATTAATAGGACAATAATGATATCTGAATCTTATGCAATTCTTTAATGATAAAAACTGGATTGAGGAAAAGTTAAACCTCAAACTTGAAATGCTTATATCTTAAAACAATATTAACCATTTGATAAACAAGTGTTACAGCGATTTTCTTTGAATACGTAAGTGGTTCTCAGTAGTGTTTTTAATAGTTCAGCCACAAAAAAATAATCGACTGTGGAATTCACTTTCTGAAGGTATCAGAAAGGCTCGTTCACTTAATTCCTTTAGCGATCAAGTCAAAAGCTATATCCTTCCTTTATCTTGATTAAAGCCTTGATATTTAAGATGTAAATGTTTAATTACACCTATTAAAAATAACTTTGTTTGTATTTATACTGTTGACACAGCAATCAAAATGCAGGTGAACAATTAATGTATAATTTCACATTATGTAATGAAAGGTGACTTCATGAATCATCTCTGAAGTCATCTTTCAATTTGACGACTCTGTAAATGATAAAACAGGGAGAAAAAAACAGCCCTTGCTGAGTTTCTTGCCGGTTCTTCTCAGTACAAGGTCTCCCGCCGTAGATGTAGCTGTACGAACCGATGGTGTAGCTTCTAGACATTCATATGTGCTTGTAACAGCCTAAACTGATTAAATGATTTTGATTATGATTATGATTATCTTAAATTCATTTCGCATCATATTTCTTTGCTTGTCTCATATATTTATGTAAGTATAGCTCCTGTATCTACTTTTGCACCGTTCTGTGTTTCTATATTATTACTAGCTGACACAGCGAACTTCGTACCGCCATTAAAATAGGAGATGTGGCAGAAGGGTGAAAAAGGGTTGTATAGTTTTTAATGCCACATTATAAAAAAATAAAAATATTTTGTCCAAAAAACCAAAAAAATGTTGGGGGTGGACAACCGTTATCACTTAGGGGTAGAAAAATAGATAGTAACCGATTCTCAGAACTACTAAATATGCATGTAAAATTTCATGAAAATCGGTCAAGCCGTTTCGGAGGAGTATGGTAACTAACATTGTGATACGAGAATTTTATATATAAGATTCCTTTTCCACTATAGGTTGCCTGAAAGAGATAACTGTTTAGCAATAAGGCATTGTATACTCCTCTTCATTTTATAAGTTTACGTCTTGATTCCTTTGTTGTGTGCAATAAAGAATATAATTATAATTATCAATAAACTGTGCCTACACAAGTACTTGAAACAAATACGTGCTATCTCGGTCCCTCATAGATAACGAGAATAAGCTGTTGATCCCGCTCATTATCTGCGATAACGCAATGATACACACACCGTATCAATATTGATTGATACGATACTGAACGTAGATAAAACGTCTACTTTACGATTGATTAAGATGTGTTATTTATAAATACAGTGCGACCATGATCTTGTCGCACTTTTATGTCATTAACAGGAGGACGCTATGTTGTGTTCTTTTTTTGTTGAAGTTCTCCCGTTTTAGGAAAGGCAAAGGGAACAATGCCCATACAGCCTGGTCTTTAATTAAATTAATTTTCTTTTTGTTTTTATTTTTGTTTTTACATTAGAATGTCGGTGTGACGCATTCTAATGTTTCTTGGAGTGTTTGGCACGAAATGTATCGAGTTGGCTTTTTCGATAAGCTTCTGTGAGGTAGTCAACACTACAATAAAATTCTCACGTCCACTTGACCGGAATAGCGTATATTTTAACGATTCACTAATTCTTCAGTTATGCAGACAGTTGTTACACAAAACCACACCAATTTTATTTCACAATATCCACTATGAACGAATTTAAGAATAATTAAAATAAGACGCCAACCGCAGTCGATGAAATCCCGCCAAAAACTCCGCTATGTTGTGTGTGTAATCAGTGTTACCAGATTACACCACATATTCACCATCAGCGGGAGGCGTTATAGAAAAAAGCAGTAGATATATAGAAAGAGCTACAAGAAAAAGCAGTAGATAAAGTCGTACCTTTTCTGAATTGCACCAATTTTAGGTTGGTGGTATTCATATAAGTGGTGTTCCGCGAAATAAAGGAAAAAATCTTAGGAATAAGGACTACCCTAATACAGTGTGACCAAGATCGTGGGGCTACTAATTTTAGGTAGAGTTTAAATTATAGAAGAAGGCTAATAAAAAAAGTTTTTATTTAATAAAATATTTTCCAACACACACCAATTAGCCTAGCCCCAAAGTAAGCACTGTAAGGCTTGTGTTATTGGATACTAGGATAACGGACAGGATACATAAATTTAACCGTACATATATATATATAGAAATTAATATTAAATATCCATGACCGGAGTACAAATGAACGTATTCATCACACAAACATCTGCCCTTACGTTACACTTATCAAGTTCTATTTAGTTAGGAGATTTTTACACCACTTGTTCACCAGCAGCGCCCTCCTGGCAAAATCATCTTAGGGCCGAAACATCCTGGTGGGTTTTCTACGAATGCCAGTTCATCGGTGGCAATAAACCGAAAACCCCAATTAACGAACGACATACCAATAGATCGAATGACAAATAGTCGATAGATTAATAGCTCGTTATGCCAATAGATCAAAAGTTAATTATATCGATGTTTTATTAGATTGAATGCCGAATACGTCTGCGTTCTGATCAAAAATTTTATTGAGGCGTTGTAGGTATAAGTCGGGGCACGAAACTAGCTCTGACCGTTATTACACGGAAGTAAAAATTAAGATGTGTTGGGGGGAAACGAGGTGCGCGGGTGGGCTTGCGTTACGCCGATTGTGACGACCTCCGTGGCCGAGTGGTTTGTACGCCGGGTTTCATGGCTGTCGCCGACTCGAGAGGTCTCGGGTTCGAATCCCGGTGGGCGCAGATGTTTGTGTGATGAATACGAGCATTTGTACTCCAGTCATGGATGTTTAATATGTATTTATATAAATATACTAATATACACACATCAAAAGTGTCTAGGGATCAACATATATTTTTGCAATAACTTTTCTCCTGATTGATATTAATTAAAATTTTCTTTAAGGATTCATCAAATAAAGTGTTTTCGTTTGTCACAGTAACGATAAACCAAGTCACCTTTGCATTAATAAAGAAATTTGCCATTTTCCTAATAAAGGGATTTTTGACATTTGAACCACTAACACAAAAGTTCGAAAAAAAGACTGAAATAACAGTTTTCTCTAAAATTTTATTGGGTAACTTAAACAATTAATAATCCGTATTTCTACCGCGAACACTAACAACACAAGAACATCGGTTTGGCATACTCAAAATGAGTTCATCCAAATCACGCTGTGGAATGGCCGCCCATGTTCGTTGCAACAACAAAAAAAGGTCTTCTTGCGACTGGATACCCTCCATATTCGGCAGAGCTCTTCTCTGTAGCATATCCCATGCATGCTCAATCGGGTTAAAGTCTGGCGACTGAGCAGGCCAGGGCAGGACATTGATGTTAGCTGCGGCGAGAGTCTGTCTTACAACTCTTGCGGTGTGCGGTCGTGCATTATCATGCATTAACTGAAATAAGGGACCGATTTGCACTTGTAGAGGAACGATGACGTCTGATACAATCGTCTCAGCATAAATTTGAGCGTTGAGGTTGCCTCTGATCCAAATCAACTCAGTTCTTCCGCCGATCCAAATACCCGCCCATACCATGATGGTTCCACCACTATAAGGATGGACTTCCTGGCAGGATTTTAATCGCTGTTGGCGTCCAGGGGTTCTCCAGTGTCGTATACGTCTTGTATCCGGTCTCATACCAAAACGAGACTCATCAGAAAAGCACACGAAACGCCATTGTTCTTCTGCCCAATTTCTGTGTTCAAGAGCCCATTGATATCGAATCCTACGATTGTGCATTGCTATAGGTGGTACCCGTAGCGGTCTTCGGGAATGAAGGTTCACTTCATGCAAGCGGTTTCTGACTGTTTGGTCGCTAATTAAGTTCCCTGAAGAGTGATGAAGCCTCACGGCTAACATCATGGCGGTTATTGTTGGAGCTCTTCGAGTTAAGATTTGAATGTATCGGTCTTGTCTCCGTGTGGTGCAGCGATACCGTCCTCCATGGCGCTCAGCCACGGTACCAGTGCTTCGGTATCGTGTCCAAAGTCGACTGATAACACTCTGACTTGTATTCAGAGCTAAAGCCACAGTACGTTGCCGGGAACCAGCTTCTATCATTCCCACGGCTCTGAGCATTTCTTCCCTGCTTAAATGACGTCGCCGCTCCATAATAACGTTGGTTTTAATCAGTAGTA